AAATGTTTATTCCTACTTTTAAGCATGCAAACACTAAAAATAATTGGATTATCTAACCTAAAACACAATATCTAGGTGAAATTACATTATCTCAAAAAATCTCAAAAATAACTTACAATTTATGATTTTTGTTGGTTGATGATGCTTGAACAATGATGTTTATATGTTGCTTGTCGATTTTTGGTGAGATTTTCGCACAATGGGATGATTTTCACACAATAGGAGTTTAAGAGACTTTTGTGTTTTATGTTTGTGTTTGAGTTTAAGTGAGTTACTAAAATGAGAAAGGGGAAGAGACATTGCACATATTTATGTTAAAACGAACCAGAAATACACTTTCGATGCCTTCCGTAAGTGTATTTCAAGTTTATTTCTGTTTGACATCTAAGGATTCTTAGTCTAAACTATTGTCTATAGTTGGGGTACTTCCGGAAATACAACTACGGGTCCCCCTGTAAATGCATTTCTGGTTAGTTCTCTGCTATTTTATATGGTCTTGTCCATCAAAGACCTTATTTAGGGGTGCTTTCGGAAATACATTTCCGGTAATTGGAGGACAATTAAGTATATTTGCGTGGTGCGCTAGAAAAACTTAGGGTATGTTAAGAAATTCCTTTTTTTTTTGCTCTCTCGTTGTTTCTACAATATGGCCAACAAACCAAACAACCACAAATATTGATGGAATGGTATAAAATTGGATGGAATAAAAGAATTTGTCTTATTCCATCCTAAAATTTTTAAATGATTAAACAAATTTTTTATTATATTATACTTCATTTTGCTTTGTTCATTTTATAATATCCAACATAACGTAAAATTATGTTTGGATTGATGGAATAGAACAGAACAAAGTGGAATGGAATATGATGAAATGAAGTAGAGCGGTGCGGAACATAGATTTCATTCTATTGTTTGTGTAATTTTTTTAATTTGACAGAACTTAGTTCATTCTATTGCATACACTCCAAATCAGATGGATTGAAAATTAAAGGATTTGAGGACATATGATGAAATGCATTCAATCATGTTATGTTATATTCCATCCTCTTTTTACCAATCCAAACAATGGAACATAGCATTATCCATTTCATTCTGCTTCATTTTGTCATGTTTCATCTTCATTAATTAATTAAACAGTACATGGACAAAATTCATAAATTGTCCTTGTTAGAGGGAAGAAACCCAAAAATAATCAGAATCATTACAATTACAATTAACACTATTTCTGGTAAGTAATGAATAAACTCCATGAAACAACTAACAAAAACTTAAACATGTTGGCTTTTTCTTTTCGTTTTCCACATTCATCTCCATCTTCTCTTTTTTCCTAGAGTCAAGGTCTTTGATGATGCAACCTAAATCATTCACAACCTTTGAGCAATTACAATCGTTTGAATTTTTTGATTCACTTGACATGTTCCTTTCAAGTTCATCATCCCACGTGAACAACTTGCAACTTAACAATGCATACGAATGTTGGACAACGAACAAAATCAGATAAGTAATAAAACATTAACAAATGAACAATGAACATTGAGCATTACCCTGGAATTTCCACATTTCCAGTATCTCCTTTTAAGATTTTCATGGAAATTTATAATGTACACCCTCATGGATCTATTGCAACCACATATTGGGATTTGAAACGGATTAGAGTTTCCAACTAAAGACGTATCCATGCCTCATTGTGCAGAGGAAGAAGAAGACAACTTTGAAATACAATTTTCTGCAATTTTAGATTTAATCCTCCATTTTAAAACTATGAAACAAGTATTTCCACGTTATTATTAGAGTACGAGAAGAGGAAAATATAAAATTAATTCTAGATCATCATCGTTTGCCCCATCATTTTTTTTAACGGAAGTTTAACATCAAAAACTAATGCCAAAAGAAAATCAACAGTTAGAGACTCCGTCCAAAAAAAATTAGGGACAGAAATAAAAAACGCGTCAACTTATAGGAATCAAAAGAATATTTAAGTTTTTCTTTTTATATTTTAATTTGTGCGAAGAAGTCAACATATTTTTTACACTAATAATTTTACAAGCAATTGAAGTGACCTGTTACAAATAACCAATGATTTACGGTGTGTAAAAAATGTGTAGCTAGAATTTCTCAATTTAAAACAACTAACAAAGTAACAAGCCATGTGATGATGTTGTATGATTTGGACAATGTAAGAAGTATGAACCCTTTAAAATGGGGCTGAGTTTGTATTTTAGATAGAATAGGAAGAAGCACAAGATAAGATGATATTATTTCTGTGGTGAGGAAAAAACCAGGAAATAGAGGAACCACATACTACAGAAGAATATAACAATGATCCCAAATGAATCTATTTGACTGCGATTCGCCCTAATGTCTAATATTTAAATGCATTTTAAAACCTGTGTCAAAGTTATAAAATTATCAGCTCAGGCTTGATGAATATCTCTTAAATTAGAAGATAAAGTAGTAACTTGGATTTGCAAATGCTAAAATATTAAACTGTAGTATCAATCTCTCATCATAACTTTCAAATGAAGGTAGCATCTTTTTTCCAAGAAATCACTAGTCTAGTAATTCATCAACAGAAACAGAGGAGCGGAGTTGACTTATTGAAAATTATGTCACTATAACTAGACAAGAATACTAAAGAGGGAATTAATATGTTACAGAGTATGTCGTTGTCATTCAGATGGACAAATTTCATCCATTCCCAATCAAGGAATAAGGAAAGTATTTACAAGTTTAAAATATGCCTATTGTACAAAAATTCCAACACTAGTCTAAGTCAGTCTCTTGCAGTTGTAGATTTATAGTCCACTGAAGCGGGAAGTAATATGCAAGAAAACATCTTCAGTGCAAGGAATTGTGAGACCACCCATTAGATGATCATATCCGAATTCTTCCTCTGCTTGACTCAACAAGTCTTGAAATGAAGTTTGATTCAAGTATGACATGGGGATCACAAACCGCTTCATTTCTTCTCCAATATACACGGCAAGATAGCCCTTTGGTATATTCATTACCTTTGATGATGTTCGGCTTCTGCTTAATGAAGCACATCTAATAACTGCAGGTAAATGAAATCCCATTTCAAATGTTTCAAAGAACAAGTAAAGCTCTCAAATATAAGAAAAGTATAACTAGCTTTTGATGGTTGAGTATGTGAATGAGTTATGATAGTTGTGAAGGAAGGTAGTATATTTATAGTCTCAAGAGTTTCTTGGAATCTATTTTGTTGAGAAGTGGTTGTTAAATGATGGGGTCCATGAGTTGAGAGATCACATGAAATCTCCTTTTGATATCTCTCTATCAAGGACCAGTAAGTTCAATAAGAGTGCATATATACACCACACCTTTTGTAGATCACTCACTTGGATGTCAAATGAGATAGGAAGATTCAAATTAGTGCTTAACTTATGGCCACTCAAGTATTTGTAGACATGTGCCATGTTCTCTTCATATTGGTAACACGGCTCAAAGTTGACATATAGCATCAAAAATCATCTTAGAGATGACTTTAAGCCAATTAGTGGCTACAAATCATATATATTTTTGGAGGCAACAATGGAACCTGTATCAAGGGATTGGTCAGTAGTTATCCTGACCAAAAGATAGTAGTACAGATTTGAATCCACAAGTAGAAGAAAACTGTTTCATTTTCAATGTTAGCAGTTCTATATATTTCATTTTCAATAATTGCAGTCTTCCGAAGGAAAGTTTAGCAACAATGCCCTACCAAGATATTCTATTATAAGGTTGTTTGATGAATATAAGAATAGTATGTTAGCAGAACTTTATTGATGAACCTATTTTAAAATGTTGAGCAATGAATTCAAGGGAAACTAGTATTGTTGTATTTATGATTCAAAATATCTTTTCTTGTTTGTTAGTGAGAAGGACTAACACTAGTATGTTTTTTCTAACTCAAAACAAAACTATTGTCAATGTAAGATTAATATACTTCTAATTTTGAGTGTTTTATAACAACATGGATTGAATTTTAAGAATTTATATAAGCCCTCTAAAACCCTCCCAAAGTTTTCCGTTCCTTCCACACACCATCCTTCCTTTTTTTTCAAACCCCTCTTCTCTCCTCCTAAACTCTTAAACAGAAACTTAAGAAAGTCAAAACCCTCTTCTCTCCTCCTAAACTCTTAAACAGAAGCTTAAGAAAGTCAAAACCCTCTTCTCTCCTCCTAAACTCCAAAACAGAAACTTAAGAAAGTCAAAACCCTCTTCTCTCCTCCTAAACTCTTCAACAGAAGCTTAAGAAAGTCAAAACCCTCTTCTCTCCTCCTAAACTCCTAAACAGAAACTTAAGAAAGTCAAAACCCTCTTCTCTCCTCCTAAACTCTTAAACAGAAACTTAAGAAAGTCAAAACCCTCTTCTCTCCTCCTAAACTCCTAAACAGAAACTTAAGAAAGAAGTTTTTACTTCTACTCTTTTAGTTAACGTTTGGCTCAATTGTGGAACCAAATTTCATATTTTGATCCATGTGATACTTATCCAATTGATATATCAGCCACATTTTACAGTTAGATCAAGTAGTCTGTTCATACAAAGTTGCAGCTGCTTCCAAGAAGATTGCATGGTTTATTGGTTGGATATCAAGTACTGGTAGATACCACTTGTCTTACAAAAACAAGAACAATATATTTTATGTGTTTAGAGCTTGTCTGAAATATATTAAGTAAGCTATCTCTTGTCTCTTTCATAGGCTAAGCTTCCAAAAGGTGGGGTATGTAATCTCACATTTCATACAGTCCCCTATGAAAGCCTTCAAGACAGTACCATGTGATCATTAATGAGCCATGGCTCCCACTAACACCCATTCAATAACTCATTCACCACACAATTAATTGGTTTTCAAAGTCTATATATATATATATATCCATCATAGGGTTTACAAGCAAACACAAACCATTCATACCTTGAAGCATCAGAATTCAATTTCACTTATTTCTTCTATTATTTCTTGGAGATCATTCTACTGTCAAGAAACAGAACAAGAATGGGTTTTCGTTTACCTAGTATTCGACGATCATCATCTAGCAAACAAGTGGAAGTGCCGAAAGGCTATCTTGCAGTGTATGTTAGAGAGAAAGCAAGGAGGTTCATGATTCCACTATCATTCTTGAACGAACCTTTATTTCTGGAATTGCTTAGCCAAGCTGAAGAGGAATTTGGTTACTGTCATTCAATGGGTGGTCTTACAATTCCATGCAAGGAAGACATCTTCGTACATACAACTTCTTGCTTGAACAACCTATAATTAATTCATACAGCAAAAAATTCATATGAATGTTAGCATAGAACAGTGTAGATTGATTAGTTGAGACAATTTTTGCACATCAGAAAGTCCCGTCAATTTTGATGTTTCCTCTTAATTGGAAATCTGAAAAGAGAATATAATCAAACTAATATTAATTAATACTAGAGATGTAGTTAATTAAAGCCTAAAACAGAATCAAATTATATTCGGATGAATTCATCTGTTGATATTTATTTCATCTTAAATACTTGTGTTGCATGCACAAACACAATAATGAAACCATGCCCCAATTTAATGGATACTGTCTATTTCATACTAATCAAAAGATTATCACAATCTCCATACATTTAGTATCATTTCTTAAATTAAAAATATATTTTAACGAAAAATTACTAGACAATAAAAAATGCAGTTCACATTTTTTCACTCCGGGCTAGTTGAGCTTTCCCTATTTGTTCTGACTTGTTATGGTAGGTGCGTTTAGGATTTAGAGTAGAGACCTAACATCAAGATTTTAAAGGTTGCAGCATCATTTCAGACCATTTCCTACCCATTCAACTTGTCACCTGAACCCAACTGCATCCAACATCTTTTCTCAACCCTCTTTGTTTGATCAATACCCTCAAACGTCCAATTTCATCCCACATACCAAACTGGGCATATAGGTTGGATAGCATTACACAGATTCCACCATTTTGAGGATCCAACTCCAGAGCCCTCTGTGCCGCCAATTTTGCTAGCGCTATATTCCCACTTTCCACACAAGCACTCAGTAGAGCTCCCCACATTGAGACACTACAATTCCCTATACCCTTATAGTGTGTCTCATTAAGTAATTCCCATGCTTTGTGTAATTCTCCAGCCCTACAAAGCAAATCAACCAGGCAACTATAATGCTCTGGACCAGGTATCAACTTAAAATCATTAGTCATAGAGTCAAAATACTTGATACCAGCATGTACTTGGCCAGTGTGACCACAAGCTGAAATCACGGTCAGAAACGCTATTCCATCAGGTTTGATTCCTTCCTGCAACATTTCCCTATACAAATCAATCACTTCCTTATAACGCCCATTTTTACCATACACACCAAGCATCGAAGTCCATAACACAAGGTCTCTAGTTGTTTCATTTTGAATCTCCATTCCGTCCAACTTGAAAACCAGCCTAGCCTTCTCTACCATTCCACATTTTCCATACATCTGAACCAAGGCACTCTGCATAAACACATCACTCTCTATATCAGGCATAGTACGGAGCAAAAGACTATGCAGCTGTCTACCCATTTCAACGGACGACAATCCAGTGCAAGCACGTAAAGCTGCGGATAACGTAAAGTGATCATACTTCAATTTCAACACAGGCATCTTCCTAACCAATTGGACTCCCTTAATCCATAGCCCAGCCTGAGAATAACCAGACAAAAGTGCATTTGCACAGACAGTATTCTTGTCAGGAATTTCATCAAACACGAGAGCTGCATCTTTGACATTAATGGATTTAGAGTAATAATGAATAAGAGCAGTAGCGACAAAGACACTAGAAAAGAAACCAGATTTGGTCACGTGGGCATGTATCCGTTTTCCAAAATTGAAGTGTTGGAGTTTAGATGAAGCGGTCAAAGTGGTACACAAAGCGTATGTATCTAAGGAAACAGCATTGGTGTGCATAAAGGAGAAGGATGCAAGAGCATGAAAGGGGAAACCTTGACGACAAAAATGAGAAATGATGAGATTGAAGTGTAATGGGTTGGTTGAGTTGATGCATTTGAGGAAAGTGGTAGTTAGTGTTTGAAGACAGTTGTTGGGAAGGAAAGAGGTGTAAGTAGCAATGAGTTGGGTGTGAAGATGATGGAGAACAAAGAGAGTGCCTGTGGTGAGTAGGTGAGCATGGAGTTTCTTGATGGATGACAGGTTTTTAGTTACTTGACATTTCTGTAAAAATTCAATGTACTTGGACATGGAAATAGTCTATATTACAAACATAAATCATCCATTTGCTTTTCCTCATCAAATGTTGTTAATGTCTATTTCTACATAAATCAACTTATATGAAATTCTCTGCAGTTGCTAGCTATATAGAAATATGAAATTGGTTTTAATGCTAATTTCAAATTATATTTTTAATACTTCTATCTGTTTAATATATTTTTTATCTCTATAAATTATCGAATTTTATTTTTGGTTCTTATAAAAAAATAGGCTATTATACAATTAATTTTACTTCTGTTGTTAAATTAATATGTATTTTTGAATGATTATTTTACAAACATGTTTAAAATATTATAAAAAAAATTTCAAAAAAAAGAAATTTAAAATTTAATTTTTAAGTCGAGATTTTTATTATTATCTTTTGAAATTTTAAAAATTCATATTTAATTTTTTTCATTTTAAAAAATTCTAAAATTTAATTAAAAAAACAATTTATAATATTCTAAAAATATATGGAAAAAATTATTCAAAAATTTAAAAATAATTAAACAATTTTCAAAATTTTAAAAAATAGTAAAGATTAAACCTGCCTTCATAAAAAAAAAATTTGTAAGGTAGAGAAATAGTTGTAATTATTCTCAAATTTTATTTATTTTGTGGTGTCAGTCTCTATCAGAATCCTTCAAGATGGGGATGAGTTTGAGTTTGTATTGTAGATAGAATTGGAAGAAGCATGAGATAAAATGATATTTTTTATGTGGTGAGGGAAAAACCATGAAATTGATGAACCACATATATCAGAGATCGCAAAGGAAGTTATTTGACTGGGATTCGCTGTAATACCTAATATCCAATTGCATTTTAAAACCTTTGCGTAGAAATTATAACATTATCTCTTAAATTAGAGGCTAAAGCATTAACTTGGATTTGTCAAATGCTAAAATGTTAAACTGTTCTCGTCATAACTTTAGGATGAAGTTAGAATCTTCTTTTCCAAGAAATCACTAGTCTAGTAATTCATCTTTATAGTCCATTGAAGCGAGAAGTAATATGCAAGAAAACATCTTCTTTGCAAGGAATTGTGAGGCCACCCATTGGATGATCATATCCGAATTCTTCCTCAGCTTGACTCAACAAGTCTTGAAATGAAGTTTGATTCAAGTATGACATGGGGATCACAAACCGCTTCATTTCTTCTCCAACATACACGGCAAGATAGCCCTTTGGCATATTCATTATCTTTGATGATGTTCGGCTTTTGCTTAATGAAGCACATCTAATAACTGCATGTAAATGAAATCCCATTTCAAATGTTTCAAAGAACAAGTAAAGCTACCAAATATAAGAAAAGTTTTGATGGTTGAGTATGTGAATGAGTTATGATAGTTGTGAAGGAAGGTAGTGTATTTATAGTCTCAAGAGTTTCTTGGAATCTATTTTGTTGAGAAGTGGTTGTTAAATGATGGGGTCCATGAGTTGAGAGATCACATGAAATCTCCTTTTGATATCTCTCTATCAAGGACCAGTTAGTTCAATAAGAGTGCATATATACACCACATCTTTTGTAGATCACTCACTTGGATGTCAAATGAGATAGGAAGATTCAAATTAGTGCTTAACTTATGGCCACTCAAGTATTTGTAGTCATGTGCCAAGTTCTCTTCATATTGGTAACACGGCTCAATGTCAGACATATAGCAGCAAAAATCATCTTAGAGAAGAGATGACTTTAAAGCTAATTAATCGCTACAAATCATATATGTTAGGAGGCAACAATGAAACCTGTATCAAGGGATTGGTCAGTAGTCATCCTGACCAGAAGATAGTACTAGTACAGGTTTGAATCCACAAGTAGCAGAAAACTGTATTCTGAAAATTGAATTATTAATGTCAACAGTCCTATATATTTCATTTTCAATAATTGCAGTCTTCTGAAAAAAAGTCTTGCAACAATACCCTGCCAAGATATTCTATTATAAGGTGGACTGGTTTTTTCAGCTCATAAGAATAGTATGTCAGCATAACTTTATCGATGAACCTGTTTTAAAATGTTGAGCACTGAATTCAAGGGAAACAAGTAGAGTTGTATTTATGATTCATAATATTTTTCCTGTTTGTTGCAGAGAAGGGACTGACTAGTATGTTTTTTCTAACTCAAAACAAAACTATTCTCAATGTAAGATTAATATATTTCTAATTTTGAGTGTTTTATAACAACATGGATTGAATTTTAAGAATTTATATAAGCCCTCTAAAACCCTCCCAAAGTTTTCCGTTCCTTCCACACACCATCCTTCCTTTTTTCAAAACCCTCTTCTCTCCTCCTAAACTCTTAAACAGAAACTTAAGAAAGACGTTTTTACTTCTACTGTTTTAGTTAACGTTTGGCTTAATTGTGGAACCAAATTTCATATTTTGATCCAAGTAATACTTATCCAATTGATATATTAGCCACATTTTACGGTTAGATCAACAATATGGCAGTAGTCTGTTCATACAAAGTTGCAGCAGCTTCCAAGAAGATTGCGTGGTTTATTGGTTGGATATCAAGTATTGGTAGATACCACTTGTCTTACAAAAACAAGAACAATATATTTTATGTGTTTAGAGCTTGTCTTAAATATATATGTTAAGTAAGCTACCTCTTGTCTCTTTCATAGACTAATCTTCCAAAAGGTGGGGTATGTAATCTCACATTTCATACAGTCTTCTATGAAAGCCTTCAAGACCCACTAATGAGCCATGGCTCCCACTAACACACATTCAATAACTCATTCACCATACAATTGGTTTACAAAGTCTACATATATATATCCATCATTGGGTTTACAAGCAAACACAAACCATTCATACCTTGAAGCATCAGAATTCAAGTTCACTTCTTTCTTCTAGTCAAGAAACAGAACAGGAATGGGTTTTCGTTTACCTAGTATTCTACGATCATCATTTAGTGCAGGCCAAGCATCTAGCAAAGTGGAAGTCCCAAAAGGCTATATCGCAGTTTACGTTGGAGAAAAAGCGAGGAGGTTCTTGATTCCGGTATCGTTCTTGAACGAACCTTTATTTCAAGAATTGCTTAGCCAAGCTGAAGAGGAATTTGGTTACTGTCATCCAATGGGCAGTCTTACAATTCCTTGCAAGGAAGATGTCTTCTTACATACAGCTTCTCGCTTGAACAACCTATGATTAATTCATACGGCAAAAAAGTATCATATGAAAGTTAGCATAGAGCAATGTAGATTAACTTGTTAGGACAATTTTTGTACATTAGGAATTTCTTTGTCAATTTTGATGTTTCCTCGTAAGTGGAAATATGAAATGAGAATCTAATCAAACTATATTCTTATGAATTCATCTGTTGTTTTTTGTCATCGTAAATACTTGCATTGCATGCACAAACACAAGCCATGCCCCAATTTAATAATAGATATGGTAATGCAAAACTGGTATACATTACGAGGCCATAGATGAGTCAACAAAACTCAAAACAACGTTTTAGTCACCGATTAATTTGTATTTGTATGTTGCATTTTGTTGTGGTATTTAAAGAAGGTGATGCAATCCACAAACACGGGGAATTTTCATGCTCTTGACATGGACTTAGCATCGAAGTTATTGTCCGAAAGCATTCAATTAGTGGCAACCCTCTACTCTAAGTTCCTAGCAGCCCTCCACTACACGTAAAAGTTTGTATTATGTATTTATTAATCAAAAGATTATCTCAATCTCCCTACATTCAATATCCTCTCTTAAATCATAAATATAGTAAGTAAAGAGTGACTAGACAATAAAAAACGCAGTTCACATGTTTCAATAGCTAACTAACTCTATGACTTAAACAGAGTCTAAACAGAGCAATATAATAATTAGTATTGGAGACACATTTAATTAGAGACTAAAATAGAAGCTAAACCCATCAAATAATAGAGTTCAGACTTACCACTTATTGACCCAATTATGAAACGCCTTTTATTCTCAGTTCTATTCCCATAATCTACACATAAAATGGCATATAAACATGAGTTTCAAGTCAATGTAAATTACATAATTCAAAGTTTTGCTGGACCATCAGCTGAAACCAAGTACAAGGCTCTAGCTTAGCTTCCCTTAATCAGAGTTGTTGACATGTCGTAATCAAACAACTTCTCGGGACTTTTGAGGTTATATTCTAAGGCCACCGAATAGACAAAACAAACATTTAACTGTCCTGCAAGTTGCATGGTCAGTTCATTGCTCTGCCTAGATGAAGAAGCAATTGATAGAATAGAATCATAAGGCATGTAAAAATAATTTGAACTTAGATACAAGGTAACTTATCTATAATTATAGTTTGGCTAAATACTTAATTAGGCCAATAAATGTAGAATAATTGGTTTGATAATGATAAACACTCCCTTCAATATTTTTCGAATTTTCTCTCAGGGTGTATTTTCTCAAAAACTAGTAAAATATTACTGGTTGGCTGAATATAATAAATAGAAGCATAAAGGAACCCATGCAGTTGTTGAATATAATGTCATAAGATTAGAAATAAATAATAACAAATATTTTGTTGCTGAATTTGTCACTCAAATGGACAATACTATTTCCAAAAGTAAGGAAAGGAAAAATCTATACAAATATAAGTTGTGACTGTTGTACAAAATGTCACCGCTAATCTAATGTCAGTCTCTTGCAGCTCTAGATTTATAGTCCATTGAAGCTAGAAGTAATATGTAAGAAAACATCTTCTGCACAAGGAATTGTAAGGCCGCCCATCGGATGATCATATCCGAATTCTTCCTCTACTTGACTCAGCAAGTCTTGAAATGAAGGTTGGTTCAAGTAAGACATAGGGATAACAAAGCGCTTCATTTTCTCTCCGACATACACTGCAAGATAACCTTTTGGCACATTCAAAGCTTTTGATGATGATTGGCTACCTGTAAAAGAAGCACGTCTAATAGAAGGTAATCGGAAACCCATCTAATGGTTTGAAAAATAAGCTGAATTTCTCAGATTTAAGAAAAGTGTATCTAAATTTGTTTGCTCGAGTGGTTTGTGATGTTGTGAAGGAAGATAGATTATTTATAGTTTCCAATAGTATCTTGAAATCCATTTGTTTGAGAAATTATTGTTAAAATGATGGGACCCGTGAGACAATAGATCACATGGTACTGTCTTAAGATGCGACTATCAAGGATCAATAAGTTCAATAAGAGTGTAAACCATAACCACCGAAAGTCAAATGAGATGAGTGCATGTCAAACTCAATACTTGTACAATGCCCACTCATTTATTTTCAGACATGCATCAGACATTGCACATGTTCTCTTCACATTGACAACACAGCTTAATGTTGATATATGACCAGTAGAATTATTAGAAATATCAGTCACACACTATTTATGAATTGCACATATTTATTGTTCTTGAAAGGCCTAGTAGGAGATAATTAGACTACGGTTCATAACAGGTCACATGCTAGAGGTCTTTCTCAAAGAATGGATGATTGCTTAAGAATTGAGCGAGTAATTAAATGTATGACCAAGATTAAGAGGATGTGCCAACATGGTGAGCATTCAGAAAAATAAAAGTGATATGCACAGATAAGAAAACCAACTGAGAAAACAAGAAGCAAATCATGTAATATAATTTTGTATGATATTACAAAAACTGATCATGCAATGTAAGTAACCTTGCAAGTGAAAATTCTACATAAATTTGAAGAAGATTTAACAAATACCAAGTGAATTCGAACACTGCCTTTTCAATGCAGTAAAGGTTGCAAGAATACAAAGTATGGCACATTCTAAATCATTATTTAAATCCTGCTAGTTCAATGGAATAATGAAAACTTGAAACATGCTTTGACACAAAGTATGGCACATTTTAAATCATTATCCAAATGATATATCAGCCACATTTTACGGCTAGATCAACAATGTGGCAGTAGTCTGCCCATACAAAGTTGCAGCAGCTTCTAAGAAGATTGCATGGTTTATTTGTTGGATATCAAGTACAGATAGATATCACTTGTCTTACAAAAACAAGAACAAGATATTTGATGTGTTTAGAGCTTGCCTGAAATATAATAAGTAGGTTATCTCAGGTCTCTTTCATACACTAGTTGTCCAAAAGGTGGGTCATGTAAACTCACATTTCATACAGTCCCCTACGAAAGCCTTCAAGACAGTACCATGTGATCATTAATGAGCCATGGCTCCCACTAAACCTCATTCAATAACTCATTCGCCATACAATTGGTTTTCTATATATATATCCATTATTGAGTTTACAAGTAACACAAACCATTCATACCTTGAAGCATCAGAAATCAAGTTCACTGCTTTCTTCTACTAAATCTTTGAGATCATTCTATTGTGAAAAAGAAAAAAAAAACAAGAATGGGTTTTCGCTTACCTGGTATTAGACGATCATCGTTTAGTGCAAGCCAAGCATCTAGAAAAGAAGTGGAAGTCCCAAAAGGCTATCTTGCCGTTTATGTTGGAGAGAATGCAAGGAGGTTCTTGATTCCAGTATCATTCTTGGTTACTGTCATCCAATGGGTGGTCTTACAATTCCCTGCAAGGAAGATGTCTTCATACAAACAACTTCTCGCTTGAACAACCTATAACTAATCCATACGGCAAAAAAGAAGTCATATTGGCTTGATAACATAGAATAGTGTAGGAATGACTAGTAGAGAAAAAATTTGTACATCCGGACTTTTGTTATCCATTTTGATGTTTCCTCTTCAGTGGAAATCTGAAATGAGTATTTATTTCATCAAACTATATTCTTGTGAATTCATCTGTTATTTTTTGTTCATCTTAAATACTTGCATTCTATTCACAAACACAGGCCATGCACTGATTTTACGGAAAATGTCTATTACTACTAAATACTAATAGATATGGCAATGTGCAAAAGTGGTACTGGCTAGGCCATAGTCCATACATGATACAACAAAACTCAAACAAAAAATCTTTAAAGGAAAAACCTTTCTTCAAACTACAAAGATTTCCTACTTGATTGTCACAACCTCCATACATTTAGTATACTCTCACATATTAAAAATATACTTTTGGTAAAGAGAGTGAAAAAATGAAGTTCATATATTTCAGGGGCAATTCCATGACTAAACAGTGTGAACAGAACATATATTAATTAATATTATAGGCTAAAAAATAGAAGCTAAACATAATAGAGTTCAGGCGTATCACTTATTGACCTAATTATGAAAAGTCTTCCAATGCCAATTCTGCGTCCAGCCATAATCTACATATAATAGCAGTTAAACATGAATTTCAAGTCAATATAGATATTATAAACTCTTGTTTCGAAAGCCATTCAGAGGATGAATGGTTTAAAAGTGGACTAAGTGTTTCGTGTTGGCCTTTTATTCATTACTTGCAATAGTCTGATACTTAAAAGCAGTAGTAAGCATCTGAAGCATAAGAAATGTGTAAAAACTGGATGCCTAGATACAAGAAAGCTTATCAACTATTAGAGTTTGGCTGAATGCTTTATCAGGCCAATAAATGTAGAGTAATTGGTTTGATAATTTTAAGAACTTCCTTCAACATGCATTCAACATTAGTAAAATATGACTGATTGAACTGAAACTTGATAAACAGTATATTTTCTTTTTTCCCTAACAGAAGTCAGTTTTAGAATTTATAAATAGAAGCATATAGGAGCCCAATGAGTTGTTGAATATAATGAGTCATTGTGATTAGAAATAAATAATAACAAATGATCTGTTCCTGAATTTGTCATTCAGATGGTCAATTCTAACCCATTCCATATACAAATCTAAGTTGTGACTATTGTACAAAAATGTCTCTGCTAATCTAATGTCAGTCTCTTGCAGCTCTAGATTTATAGTCCATTGAAGCTAGAAGTAATATGTAAGAAAACATCTTCTGCACAAGGAATTGTAAGGCCGCCCATCGGATGATCATATCCGAATTCTTCCTCTACTTGACTCAGCAAGTCTTGAAATGAAGGTTGGTTCAAGTAAGACATAGGGATAACAAAGCGCTTCATTTTCTCTCCGACATACACTGCAAGATAACCTTTTGGCACATTCAAAGCTTTTGATGATGATTGGCTGCCAGTAAATGAAGCCCGTCTAATAGCAGGTAATCGGAAACCCATCTTCTAATGGTTTGAAAAATAAGCTGAATTTCTCAGATTTAAGAAAAGTGTATCTAAATTTGTTTGCTTGAGTGGTTTGTGATGTTGTGAAGGAAGATAGTGCATTTATAGGTTCCAATAGTTTGTTGAAATCCATTTGTTTGAGAAATTATTGTTAAAATGATGTGGCCCATGAGATAATAGATCACATGGTGCTGTTTTAGATGCCACTATCAAGGATCAATAAGTTAAAGAAGAAGGCAAACCGTAACCACTAAAAATAAAACGAGATGTGCGCAGGTCAAACTCAATAATTGTATGATGCCTACTCATTTCTTTTCAGACATGCATCAGACATGGCACGTGTCCTCTTCACATTGACAACACAACTTAATGTTGATATATGACCTGTAGAACTACGACAAATATCAATCATACACTATTTATGAGTTGCACATATTTATTGTTCTTGAAGGGCCAAGTTGGAGATAACAAGAGTATGGACCACAACAGACCACATGCTATGGTCTAGAGGTCTTTCTCAAAGAATGGATAATTGCTTAAGAATTGAGCGAGTAATTAAATGTATGACCAAGATTAAGAGGATGTGCCAACATGGTGAGCATTCAGAAAAATAAAAGTGATATGCACAGATAAGAAAACCAACTAAGAAAACAAGAAGCAAATCATGTAATATAATTTTATATGATATTACAAAAACTGATCATGCAGTGTAAGTAACCTTGCAAGTGAAAATTCTACATAAATTTGAAGAAGATTTAACAAATACCAAGTGAATTCGAACACTGCCTTTTCAATGCAGTAAAGGTTGCAAGAATACAAAGTACGGCACATTCTAAATCATTATTTAAATCCTGCTAGTTCAATGGAATAATGAAAACTTGAAACATGCTTTGACACAAAGTATGGCACATTTTAAATCATTATCCAAATGATATATCAGCCACATTTTACGGCTAGATCAACAATGTGGCAGTAGTCTGCCCATACAAAGTTGCAGCAGCTTCTAAGAAGATTGCATGGTTTATTTGTTGGATATCAAGTACAGATAGATATCACTTGTCTTACAAAAACAAGAACAAGATATTTGATGTGTTTAGAGCTTGTCTGAAATATAATAAGTAGGTTATCTCAGGTCTCTTTCATACACTAGTTGTCCAAAAGGTGGGTCATGTAATCTCACATTTCATACAGTCCCTATGAAAGCCTTCAAGACAGTACCATGTGATCATTAATGAGCCATGGCTCCCACTAAACCTCATTCAATAACTCATTCGCCATACAATTGGTTTTCTATATATATATATCCATTATTGAGTTTACAAGTAACACAAACCATTCATACTTTGAAGCATCAGAAATCAAGTTCACTGCTTTCTTCTACTAAATCTTTGAGATCATTCTATTGTGAAAAAAAAACAAGAATGGGTTTTCGCTTACCTGGTATTAGACGATCATCGTTTAGTGCAAGCCAAGCATCTAGAAAAGAAGTGGGAGTCCCAAAAGGCTATCTTGCCGTTTATGTTGGAGAGAATGCAAGGAGGTTCTTGATTCCAGTATCGTTCTTGAACGAACCTTTGTTTCAAGAATTGCTTAGTCAAGCTGAAGAGGAATTTGGTTACTGTCACCCAATGGGTGGTCTTACAATTCCCTGCAAGGAAGATATCTTCATACAAACAACTTCTCGCTTGAACAACCTATAACTAATCCATACGGATAACATAGAATAGTGTAGGAATGACTAGTTGAGAAAAAATTTGTACATCCAGAATTTTGTTATCCATTTTGATGTTTCCTCTTAAGTGGAAATCTGAAATGAGTATATCATCAAACTATATTCTTGTGAATTCATCTGTTATTTTTTGTTCATCTTAAATACTTGCATTCTATTCACAAACACAGGCCATGCACTGATTTTACGGAAAATGTCTATTACTACTAAATACTAATAGATATGGCAATGTGCAAAAGTGGTACTGGCAAGGCCATGGTCCATACATGATACAACAAAACTCAAACAAAAAATCTTGAAAGGAAAAACCTTTCTCCAAACTACAAAGATTTCCTACTTGATTGTCACAACCTCCCTACATTTAGTATACTCTCACAAATTAAAAATATACTTTTGGTAAAGAGAGTGAAAAAATGAAGTTCATATATTTCAGGGGCAATTCCATGACTAAACAGTGTGAACAGAACATATATTAATTAATATTATAGGCTAAAAAATAGAAGCTAAACATAATAGAGTTCAGGCGTATCACTTATTGACCTAATTATGAAAAGTCTTCCAATGCCAATTCTGCGTCCAGCCACAATCTACATATAATAGCAGTTAAACATGAATTTCAAGTCAATATAGATATTATAAACTCTTGTTTCAAAAGCCATTCAGAGGATGAATGGTTTAAAAGTGGACTAAGTGTTTCATGTTGGCCTTTTATTCATTACTTGCAATAGTCTGATACTTAAAAGCAGTAGTAAGTATCTGAAGCATAAGAAATGTGTAAAAACTGGATGCCTAGATACAAGAAAGCTTATCAACTATTAGAGTTTGGCTGAATGCTTTATTAGGCCAATAAATGTAGAGTAATTGGTTTGATAATTTTAAGAACTTCCTTCAACATGCATTCAACATTAGTAAAATATGACTGATTGAACTGAAACTTGATAAACAGTATATTTTCTTTTTTCCCTAACAGAAGTCAGTTTTAGAATTTATAAATAGAAGCATATAGGAGCCCAATGAGTTGTTGAATATAATGAGTCATTGTGATTAGAAATAAATAATAACAAATGATCTGTTCCTGAATTTGTCATTCAGATGGTCAATTCTAACCCATTCCATATACAAATCTAAGTTGTGACTATTGTACAAAAATGTCACTGCTAATCTAATGTCAGTCTCTTGCAGCTCTAGATTTATAGTCCATTGAAGCTAGAAGTAATATGTAAGAAAACATCTTCTGCACAAGGAATTGTAAGGCCGCCCATCGGATGATCATATCCGAATTCTTCCTCTACTTGACTCAGCAAGTCTTGAAATGAAGGTTGGTTCAAGTAAGACATAGGGATAACAAAGCGCTTCATTTTCTCTCCGACATACACTGCAAGATAACCTTTTGGCACATTCAAAGCTTTTGATGATGATTGGCTACCAGTAAATGAAGCCCGTCTAATAGCAGGTAATCGGAAACCCATCTTCTAATGGTTTGAAAAACAAGCTGAATTTCTCGTATTTAAGAAAAGTGTATCTAAATTTGTTTGCTTGAGTGGTTTGTGATGTTGTGAAGGAAGATAGATTATTTATAGTTTCCAATTGTATCTTGAAATCCATTTGTTTGAGAAATTATTGTTAAAATGATGGGACCCATAAGACAATAGATCACATGGTATTGTCTTAGATGCGAGTATCAAGGATCAATAAGTTCAATAAGAGTGTAAACCGTAACCACCGAAAATCAAATGAGATGAGTGCATGTCAAACTCAATACTTGTACAACGCCCGCTCATTTATTTTCAGACATGCATCGGACATTGCACATGTTCTCTTCACATTGACAACACAGCTTAACGTTGATATATGACCAGTAGAATTATTAGAAATATCAGTCACACACTATTTATGAACTGCACATATTTATTGTTCTTGAAAGGCCTAGTAGGAGATAATTAGACTATGGTTCACAACAGATCACATGCTAGAGGTCTTTCTCAAAAAATGGATGATTGCTTAAGAATTGAGCGAGTAATTAAATGTATGACCAACATTAAGAGGATGTGCCAACATGGTGAGCATTCAGAAAAATAAAAGTGATATGCACAGATAAGAAAACGAACTAAGAAAACAAGAAGCAAATCATGTAATATAATTTCATATGATATTACAAAAACTGATCATGCAATGTAAGCAACCTTGCAAGTGAAAATTCTACATAAATTTGAAGAAGATTTAACAAATACCAAGTGAATTCGAACACTGCCTTTTCAATGCAGTAAAGGTTGCAAGAATACAAAGTATGGCACATTCTAAATCATTATTTAAATCCTGCTAGTTCAATGGAATAATGAAAACTTGAAACATGCTTTGACACAAAGTATGGCACATTTTAAATCATTATCCAAATGATATATCAGACACATTTTACGGCTAGATCAACAATGTGGCAGTAGTCTGTCCATACAAAGTTGCAGCAGCTTCTAAGAAGATTGCATGGTTTATTTGTTGGATATCAAGTACAGGTAGATATCACTTGTCTTACAAAAACAAGAACAAGATATTTGATGTGTTTAGAGCGTGTCTGAAAAACTTATCTCTGGTCTCTTACATAGACTAATTTTCCAAAAGACAGTACCACGTGATCATTAATGAGCCATGGCACCCATTCAATAACTCATTCACCATACAGATGGTTTTCAAAGTCTATATATATAGTTCAGTGAAAGAGTGAACATGATGGATGTTTTGAGATTGACCCCATTGTGGAAGTGTCTAAAAATTACTAATAAACTCCAAGAAAACACAAACAGTGGTAAAAGCTCCCGGTGAGAAGCGCTTTACTCAACATGCATTTAAAGAGAAACTCTAACAGGACAAATTATGAACAAGCATGCAATGGTACTATCAATTACTCCATACTAGAGAGGAATGTGATTACTGCCATCTAATGAAGGTCTACAATTCCCTGAAACGAGAATATGTTCTTACAGTTGGAAGGTCTACCATGCACCAATTCAGTAGCATTGAAATGATAGAATTTGGAAGCAAGTGAGTAGCATTGAAATGAAATGAAGACAGGAACATACCAATAATTGAAGAAGGCGGTGGTGACGACAATCACATGAACTACCCGCGCTCTTCATATGGATTGATGAGGTCATAGTTTTTATACTATAAATAACAGGCAGCTAACGGCAACGGCAACCCTTTAGTTTGAATTCGCCTGAACTATTGATAAAAGTGAAAGTTAGTTAAGACTCAAACATAAATAAAAATGAAAATAAAACAAAGAGTCAAATAGCCATCACAGTTGTTTAAATCCAAACTACGGCATCACAGTTTTATCAATTTTAAATGGAGAACTTTGACTAGTTAGACACTTAAGACTGTTGTTGAACTTAAAAAAATATCCAGTATGTCTGATACTTGTGGGTTCAAAGTCAAACATGCAGTACTAATATATTTTGACTGTTGACCAAGCCATTGATGAAAGTTCCCCGTTGCCTCCCTACATTTATGATGTGATTTGTATCCAACAGTGCATTATCTATCTAGATTAGAATTGACACAACAGCAGAACTTATCTATATGTCGGCAGTGAGCCATGTTATCAATAAGAAGAAAAAATGTCACATGTCTAATGGGTGTCTATAAAAATAAGAGTATGTATTGATAATAAATCAAAACATTAAGTTAACCTACTGGCCATCTCATTTGACTCTGAGTTGGGTTGTCTATGTACTGGCCTTTCATTGAGAAGGTCAGGTGGGGCCTTGAGCGTCCAAGACAATAGCATGTGGTGATCCCTTATCTTTAAGGAGAATAATTTATAAAAGAAATGGATTTGAAGACTATAAATACACTATCTTCTTTCACAACCAACCATCACAGATCATTCACGTACTAAAGCATAAAAAAGTAAGAAAAATTAGAGATCTTTAGCTTGTTCTTCAAAACATTTGAAATGGGTTTGCCTTTACCTGGAGCTATAAGACGGGCATCATTTAGCAAAAGCCAAACATCATCAAAAGTGACAAACGTGCCAAAGGGATGTCTTGCGGTGTACGTTGGTGAGGAAATGAAGCGGTTTGTGATTCCGACATCATACTTGAACCAACCTTCATTTCAAAACTTGTTGAGTCAAGTAGAGGAAGAATTCGGATATGATCATCGAATGGGCGGCCTCACAATTCCTTGCATGGAAGATGTTTTCTTGCATCTAACTTGTGGCTTCAATGGTCTATAAATCAGAAACTGCAAGAGAGTAACATAGATTAGTATTGAGATTTTGTAGAACATAGGCATGTTGTAAATATTGGGAAAATGGATGAAATACATTATTTGATGTTTTGGCAAACACAGAGTTGAATTGAATTGAAAGCAATAATGTTAATCTATATTGATGAAAATTGAATTGAAAGCTGTGATGTTAGCAATATGGTGAAGCATTGGATTAGAGAAAAGAGTGGAACGAAAGTATACATAACATAAAAATGATAGAATAAAATTTTGTATAATAACCAAATCAGAACAAGAACTTATTAACTCAACCCTAACAGCACTGAAATTGAAAATCAATGAGAAAAGGAATGAAACCCTAACCTAACGAAGAAGACGATTGATAAAGGGAAAAGTCAAAAAAAAAAATTTGGACCATTTCTCGATTTGTGCGTGTCATCCTTGCGCAGGGGCCATGCTAATCTTCTCTGTATCGTTCCAATTTTATCGGATGTCCCCGAAGGGACGAGCTCAGAGTGACTATCTGTTCTATATAAACATAATAAATAAAACAAACCAGCCGATGTGGGACTAAAAGTAAGCATAACACGGTTAGTTCTCTTTGTTGTGTCAAAACCGCTTATTATTTCTCTTCTTCAATCAATCTGCATCTATATGTATAATTTGTTGTGTTATGTTATGTTGCCTCAACTTCACTTAATTAGTAGTAGTAATTCATTACATCATTCATTCTACACTCTAGAGGTGCATCATATATACTATACCTTATATATAGATATAAATACATATATTTTTAGTATGGGTCGCCCATTCACATACTATTTTCTTAACACATATAGAAGTAACTAGTAAGAAAATTAATTAACCATCTCATTATTGCCTCATCTTTATTAATTATTGCTCATTCATTAATCAATTAATGTTCTTGTTTACTCATTCATCTGATTAACCATATCTTATTAAAAATTTATTTTTATTTGATGATCCAAAAGACTTATGGTCATATCATGCCACCCCTCACTCTATCATCAAGGAAATTCTATTATCCATGGTGTATGGAGCAGACGCCATGCTGCTCGTAGAGATTGATACACCCTCGCACTATAACAAATAATACATTATACGACAAAGCATTCACCTCGGCCAACAAATAATCGATGTGTAAACCATAAACACGCCACATTTTAATTATTTTTTAAAATACTACTTATTTCCTCCGTTGAGTTGGCAACCGAGGGAAAAATATATTCAAGGGTCACGTCTTCAAATCTAAGCAACTGCGCTTTAGCACCTTTAAAATTTTGTAAAAAAAAATTATGACCTATTATCTTGGTTGAGCTGGAAACTAAGAGGAAATGTATTGAGGGGGCATGCCTTTGAATCATAGCAACGGCCTTTTAACACTTTTTAATTTTAATTTTATTTTTTATGACATATTACCTCGATTGAACCGACAACCAAGTGGAAATGTATGAGGGGAGATTCCTTCAAATTTCAATAACTACATTTTAGCATCCTTTATTTTTTTTTATGATCTGTTTCCTCAGTTGAGCTGACAACTTAAGGGTAAAGTATAACTGCATTTTAGCGTATATTATTTTATTTTTATGAAAAATGGTAGTTTGAAAGAAAAAAATTACAATTTCTTTCGAGTTTAAAAACATTTTAAAAATATTTTAATAAATTAGCAGCGGAAATATAAATAAATGGAAAATAAAGAGTTGTGGGTAATAGAGATAATACCATAAATTATAGAGGTTTGGTCGAAATGAAGTGACATAATCCTCTCCTAAAGATTTAATCTTGAGAGTAGACAACAATTCTTAAGAGGTTTTAATATGTTGAACTCTCAAACCCCCTTATACAAGGAAAAATTTAATTTCAAACTACCTTCCAACCAAACAGCGAACACCAAAGAGATGTGGTTAGTCTTCCTTTCAAACAGCAACTAGAAATAGTTAGTCTTCTTTCCAAACAATAAATTGGAGCGGTTAATCCCTAAACTAAATCTAGATTTCCACCTAAAAGCTTTTGAACCGGTTTGAACTCACTAACTAAACCAAGGTTTTGACCCGGCTGACCACGAAACACTGATATTTTAAACTACACTTATCTTAAGCCACTGAAAGCTTTTGATCGGGTTGAGCTTATGAACCAAACCAAGGGTTTTACCATGATAACCACAATCCAATTTGAGATTTTGAATCGGGCCGATCTCGAAATAAATAATGCTTTTGACTTGGCATAGCTTACGAGCCGAAACAACTACTTAGAATCTAAATCCCCAAACTAAAGCTTTTAACCTAAATAAACAGTTCCTTATGGATAAAATATTCAATCAAGAGAAAATTGTTGGACTTGAGACTTCACACACAAGACAGAGGGTGAATTGTGAAGTTTGGAAAAACATGGTTTTGAAAACTTTTGGCAAGTCAAATCAGAGTTTAAAAACATTTTCAAAAACTAAGCAACGAAAAGTAAATTGTAGAAATATCTCAAAAAGGAAGCTTGAAAACATGTTTGATTCTTGTTTAATCTTGGCCATGATTGCGTTGTCTTATGCCATATTTGTTTACCCTAATCCTTCCTCTATAAAAGCACAACAAGACCAGATACAATGACCACGCATCCCTGCCTCACAAATTGCAAAAAATTTCAAACTTTTTTTTCAAACCCTCAAGTTTCAAACTTGTGTTTCAAACCCTCTCATTCCAAAACTTCGATCCCATTCACTTCCTGGGACATTGAAAGGTAAGTTTGGATCAATTACCATGATCTTGAGCTCTTGAAACATGCATACAAACCCTGACTGGTTTTTGGATTTTTGTCATTTATGTATTTTTGATTTCATGCATTTTTGAAAGTTACTAACCATCCAAAACAATTTATATGAATGTTCAAGACAAGTTGCAACCATTACATGGAATTTTGGACGTCCGGACCTTGATTTGCCATGTCTAAACCGAATTAGGTTTTTTGGTTCAAAACTCATGCTACAAGCACTTTTGGTAAAAACTAAGTCCATATTTGGATTTAGGAGGGTCGAATTAGGGGGAGTAGGGCATTTTTTACCACTAACATGTTGAATTCACAGGTTTTGCATCTTACAGGTTGTCGGAGAAGACGATCGAAGCTAGGGCTCCGGTGCCTCTCCGACCATTAACATCAGGCTTCATATTTATTCTTATGGTTTGATTTATGTTAGCGAATGTAAGGCCGCCTCAGCGGTAGAAGCGTGTATTGCAAAGGTGTTAGTGTACCAGAGCACGAGTTCGATCCCTGCCCCTGGTATTATATTTTTCATGTTTTCTCTTGTTTACGGATCCAGTACTAGCCAGCCTAGCACGCTCGTTGTGCTCCTCACCTTATCACCATCAGATCTTCACACTTCCAGATCCAGCGCCCCAGATTTACAGGTGCATCATGAGACCCTTTAATCCATCCACACTGGATCTCACGCAATACTGGGCTGTAGTTAATGGGCCTAATGATTCATATTTTTCACACCCCCTCGGATTTACTTCTGCAGGCCCATCACTTCTTTTTTTCAATTTCTTTTTTTGTTTATTTAACATAATTAACTTTTTTTTCTAAATTAATTAAAATCAAATTAACTTGACTTTTTTTTAATTAAATTAACCTTTTTTTAAAAATTAAATTAATTGAAATAATTAACTTAGTTTTCTTAGGGCTTTTTATCATTAAATATATTTTCAAATAATCGATTTTTTTTTCTAAACTAAAATCAATTAGGTTAGGTTAGTCATCAATTTTTTTAATCAAAAACGATCACAAAAAGAAAACATTTCTCCATTTCTCTTTACTTTTACAATCTTTGCGCGTTTCTTTAATTTCCCATTAGTTTTTTACAATAATGTATCTGCTAAAGGTTGTAATAGTTAATTAGGTTATTTTTACCGCATTCTTTCTTTCCCCCAATTTTTGTGGTTCTGTACCCCTCTCCTAAAGCATTGTAATAGCGTATAATATTTCTTTTCCGTTTTTACTATTTTTACTAATTACTGTATAGTAACTAGGTGTTGTACCCTAAAATTTTCCCTCCCATTTTCTTCAAAGCATTCTCATAAAGGTCTCAAATATTCAAAGCCACTCACGAGTTAACTGGTCAAACCTCCTCCTAAGCAAAGGTCTTCAACTAGGGTTTGGTGCTTCTCAAAGAAGAATGGGTTGAAAGGGTCTCAAATTAATTTCATGGTTCATCATAGATCCTCAATAATGCTTATGTCAAGTTTCAAGTCTTGCATCACATGTTTGCTTAGTCAATGGTTCAGATGATTGAAAATCAATTGTATTAAGTAAAAAGTCAATTGTGGTCAACATACAGTCAAACTTCAAAAAAATTTGTCATTGTCAATATTTTGATGTGATATTAATCATTTGATCAAGGGTTTATCATGATTCCTCAAGGAAAGCCCTCAAATCATCAAAGGTCAAAAATTGCCAAAATTAGGGTTTTGACTGAAGATGACTGATCATTGACTGTTGGCCTAGTCCATGACCTAACGGCTTAAAGAATGATCTCGAGAGATCAAATACAACATCTTGACCTAATTACATGGCTCAAGACATTTCCAAAGTTGCAAGTGATTGATAGTTGAAGAAATTGAATCAATTGATGAAAAGTCAACAGTCACACAAAAGTCAAACTTTGACTTTTTGGTCAACATTGGAATTCAAAAATCAAGAATCATCAAAACATTCAAAACTATAAAACTTGATCATCAAGAATAAAAAAAAGTCAACAAAAGTCAAAAGTTGGAAAATTTTCCAAGACAAATTTTTTTAAGTGTTTTGTTCTTAAGAAAATAACTACTTCATGGCCATTTTTCACTAATATCCAAGTTGATTCAAAGAAAATTTTCAACATGAAAGTTGTAGGTAGGTATTGATGAATTTTACAACTTTGTTAATGTGGGGTGATCCTCAAGAAGTGATTGGATTAAGAGATATGAGTTCACTAAGTTTTGATATTTTTATCCAACCCTT